TTTGTTTGCGTTTTGTTAGTTTCAGAAAAAAGTTCACCCGATGATTCTGCGACTACGCTAATAAATGCAGTGCAGATATTACCACTTTAAAAATGCATGGACGCTGGAAGTATTACAAATAAAAGTAGTAAGTAGAAATGCAGTATGATTAAAGAAAAAGTCTTCAAAGTTGCCTTTGAAATATCAATACCGGATAATTTCCATCCTACCTCTATACAGGGTTGTTCACCACATACGACACGGAGTATTGTAGCTAAGCGATTAGATTTTTACAAATTGTAAGTTTTGGGTTCGTTGAAGGACTATTAGAGCTACAATTTAAAAATATTTTTACAAGATACAGAGTGTCCCAAATAAGTAAAAAATATTATAGTTGTATTTTTTTAAATGGAACACCCTGTATATTATTCTATTTTTGGATTCTACGATTGAAATATAGGTAAACTTGATTAAGGTTTATCACACTTAAATCTTCCCGTTTTTGAAATATTTTCAATTTTATGAAATTGCTTTAAAAAATTTAAGGCTTCATTTCTCCAAGGGTATCAAAGTTTTTAATACTAAATATTTACTGAAGATTATTTATTGATCAGATATTGTGTTGCAATAATAAAAATTTTACTACCTTATACAGAGTGTCCAAAAATTTATATTAAATAATTGCTAGCTTTAAACGGCAGTAACGTGTTTAATTTAAATGGAACACCCTGCATATTTTACGTGAATCATATGCACAATTTAATTGTCTATCAAATTTTATTATACCATTTTTTACCTATCTCTTCAACTTTTCGTAGAAAATGCATTTTCTTATAATTTAGACCTCATTTAACACTATACCCATGGAATATTGACATTTCAGATTTTTTTAAGCAACATATATGCACCAAATGTACAGGTGGTAAATATTGCAAGCCCATTGGTATACCAAAAAAACTATTTAAATCTTTATAAAAGAGTATACGAATTAAATATACCACCATTATTTCCGACCAAAAATTAGTTAATTACATACTTTTAAATTGTTTTAATTAATAAAGTATTCTAAATAAATGTGGATTTGGCTCAGAAATCAATATAATAATAAATTATGAAAATAAACGTCTCTGTTTTTATAAATAAGCATTCTTCAAAAAATGAAATAACATTTATAAGGCGTTACTTTTTACCACACTGTCTAATACACACACAAAATTCAGTTTTTTAGTATTTGGAGCAATTATTATTAATCAACGTAAACAGTAAATTAATGTAGTTTGAATACTAGGATCATATTAATTGGTCCTCTTTAACAAAAAATATTTAAACAGTTTTTTTAATTTTTATAAGAAGTAAGCGAACTATATCGACAATATTAGTATCTGTACTCTTTGAAAATTTGTTACATCTTTAAAAATAATCTAAAATGTCAATATTCCATGGGTATGCAATTCCATGGAAAATGCAATTTCTACGAAAACCTGAAGAGATGGGTAAAAAATGGTATAATACGATTTGATAGACAATTACATTGTGCATCTGATTCACGTAAAATATATAGGGTGTTCCATTTAAATTAAACAAGTTATTGCCGTTTAAAACTAGTAATTATTTAATATAAATTTTTGGACACTCTGTATAAGGTAGTAAAATTTTTATTATTGCAACACAATATCTGATCAATAAATAATCTTCAGTAAATATTTAGTATTAAAAACTTTGACACCCTTGGAGAAATGAAGTCTTAAGATGTTTATTTTAAGGTTTTAAATGTTAATTTCAAGAACGGTAAGGTTTAAGTATGATGAACCTTAATCAAATTTACCTTTATTTTAATCGTAGAATCTAAAAATAGAATAATATACAGGGAGTTCCATTTAAAAAATACAACTATAATATTTTTTACTTATTTGGGACACTCTGTATCTTGTAAAAATATTTTTAAATTGTAGCTCTAATAATCCTTGAATGAACCCAAAACTTACAATTTGTAAAAATCTAATCGTTTGGCTACAATACTCCGTGTCGTATGTGGTGAACAACCCTGTATAATTTATTATAATTTGACATAAACAATTATCTAGCATTAATATTTTATTTAGAAAAAAGTAAACAGTTACTAGACAAAAATCTACTTTCACAAAAAATGATGATTATTGAATAAATGTTTCTTTAAGTAAGAGAGCTGTATGGAGAATTTTTATTTTCTGTCATTTAATTATAAATTTTTGACAAGATTTTATGTTAATTTTTAATAATGGATATATAGTTATAACGGTACTGTTACACCATTTTTTAACACGTCTGATAACTGTGTCAATGTCTATAATATTATAAGATCATGTTTTGAAAAATATTAAATATTTTCTTTATCTCCAAAACTGTTAGAGTAGAGAATATAAAAAGAATAGGAAAGAAGCGTCAATTTTATTTGTAAGGGGGGCACTTTAAATGAATATTTTTAGCCTTTTTCTTTCAACCCCCTAGGAGGGGTAGATATCGCCTTTACAATCTTAAATGGGAATGGGGATCAAGTGGCAAATCATTTTAAAGGGCGTTTAATTCTCTTTTCAGTGGCATCCTACTTTGTTGCTTTTTCTCCAGAGGTTTCCGAATAATCGCGTTGCAAAGTTGCAGAAACAATTAAACATGCCTGAGATTTTGATTATCAGGCTAGTGTTTACACAAAAATTATTGCAATGGGTCTGCTTGTAGTACAAATCATTAGAAGATTAGGTGGCAACATGGACGTAGCCATTACTTTTTTCTAGAGGGGTCAAAATATTAATAAACAGAATACATCATAAACATTAACGTTTCTTTTCTCAAATTCGAATGAGTGGCAACTTCCAGGGGGTACATGGCCCTCTCCTGCCTCCCCTTCGGTACGCCCATGGATGGCACCGTTTGAAATTTTGTTTCGGGATTGGCAAAGTAACCTCAAAAAATTTACACGAAATAGTAATCTAAAAAAATTACGAGTACCTACCTAGTCAATATGCGTTTGTTCGATGTCTTATCGCTGAAATTCCACAAAAATCCTTGCTATTCTATCAACAAATTCTAAAAATACGTTGTTGTCTTAGGACAGGACATACACAATATGCCCAAAAAGTTAATGTTTGGACTGGTATTCTTGGAAGTGTCATTATTGGTCCTTTATTTATCGAAGGAAACTTGACAGGTGATCTGTATCTTAATATGCTTCGAAAGGCTATTGATCCTCTCGATCACCCGAGAGCTAAAAACTCAAATTGATGCAGAGGGTAATCCAGTTTTACAGGAGGATTTGTTAACATTCTAGCAGGACGGTGCTCCACCTCATTATTTTCTTCCGATCCGACACTGGTTAAACGAGAGATTTCCGGGTACATGAAGTAGCAGAAGGGAGCCAATTGAATGGCCTCCAAGGTCACCGGATTTAACATCCTTAGACTTCTTTCTTTGTGGACATCTTAAATCCATTTTTATAAAATACAACCTACTGATATTCGGTCAATTCCCGAAACTTTAGGGAGGAATTGGTATAGAGTGGGAAAAAAACCGAGAACAACCACGACCAGTAATCATAAAGTTTGTCGATTACACCCAAAAACTAATATGTTAAGAAATGAGTGTAACCTCAAAAGTACTAAAACTGGAATAATAGAAGTATTAAGAAAATCAAGATTCTTTTTATACAAAACATGAAAAGGTTGACTGAAACGGGTTTACACAAGAGATGGGGATATATTTATTAAAAAGGAAGATGAAGGAAACCATAAAACAGGGGACCTGAGAGATATAAAAGTCTATTAAAATAAAAATGTAAAAGAAATTAAAAAAAAATCCTAAAAGTGCTATGAGTATCGTTTTGTTATTATTAAAAATACTTCAAAATGTGCCAATATACCGCGCAAATAATCTCTAATTTATTTCCATCTAGAAACTCAATGAGACGTTTTTTGCATTCTAATCCAGTAACATTTCACGAAAAATAACTTTATTTTTTTCAGTGAATGCAAATTCAGTGTTTTTGAAGCATACCGTATTTTCCATTTAAAATAAAATATCTGCAGTCATTTTTTGTATAAAAAGACAACAGTTCATTGTTAGAAATAATTTAGATCGATGTAGCAGGTACATTTATGTAATGTTCCAAATGATCACAAAAATTCTATTGCCTGTGTATCGATAACTGTCTAACCGTTGTCTATTCACCCTGTATATATTCTTCTTCTTCTTCCTGTGCCTTGTGCTTAGCCGCACGTTTACGAGTCTGTACTCTTCATATAATGTGTAGAGTGCCGTTTTCAGCTCTTCGAAATATGGTGGCTGCGTCGCTTATGTTAACCAATCCCGTATGTTTCTGAGCCAGGAATGTTCCGCGCCGTCCCTCTATTTTTCCTTGTAGAATTAGTTTAGGAATGTAACATTTGTCTCCTCTACGGATATGGTCGAGGTAGGAAACTTTCCTTTCTTTAACCATGTTAAGTATTTCTCGTTGATAGCCTGCAGTTCTTAAAACTTCTTCGTTGGTGGCATGTGCGGTCCATAGCACACGTAAGAATCTCCGGAGAGTCCACATTTCGAAAGCCGCGATGCGGTTCAGGGTTCTAGCCTTGAGAGACCACGTTTCTGCGCCTTATGTAGCATTTTACTACCGGTAGTCTAAGTGCTAGTGGGGGTGCTAGCTATATATATTATTATAATTTATTTTGCTATTTTCAATATTATTAGATCTATCTCTTAGAATGGCAATATAGTTGACCTAACCATTGTAAAAAGAATTGGTAATTCCATGAAAATAGTAAAAATCATAAGAAATAGACAGTTAAAAAATTAAATTGCATATTCTGTAACACTTTTACACTTTCACACAAGGCAATTAAAATCAGGAAAGAATTTCATTGCGCGAATCAATAAAAACAATCTACTATTTCAACTACATATCAAAGTTGTATACAAAATCGATATAGACAATTATTTTTGACCCTGCTATGTAAGAATTGACACAGTTAAAACGAATTTTATTAGAATTTTTACGAAAATTCATTATTTGACGTAAAAGTTATTGTTGGCGCAGAACGTGGATTATCTTGTAGCACGTTGTGTATAGAAGGCCGTAGTCTTCTTTGACTGACTGCAGATCCATACCTTCTGCAACCATGTTGTATTGTTTTCTAAAATAAAAAAAAAACAATGCAGTTATCGACATTTTAAGTGTATGTTAATTAAGCATTTACAGTATCTACCATAACAGTTATTAAAAACTAGTGTGAAGGACAAGATTTTATGTAAAATTAAGTTAATAAATAGTTATTAAGTTAATGTTTAAATAAAATCAATGAATGTAAAACAAAAAAGGAAACCAAAATGTTCTCGTAGGAGAAGCAGCAGGGAACGACGGAATAACAGCTGAAATACTTAAGAGCGCAGGTAGGAGAATATGGAAAATCATAACAAATATATACACGAGCTGTCTAAGGAGAAAACATATACTACAAGACTGGAATAGCGCCAACATAATTCTAATTCATAAGAAAGACATCAAAGAAGACATCAGAAACTATAGACCAATAAGCCTACTACCAGTGTTGAAACCCACAAAATATTACCTAAGTTTTATTTTTTCTGTTTCGATACGTTGCTGCGGAAACTTCCATTTGTTTATAAAGGTATACGTTTTAGTTTATCGCGAAAAAAGTTTGATTAATGTAATGACAAGTTTTTGTATTAGAAATAAAAGTTTTCTCTCGTCTTCGTTAATTTTGGTGGCGTTTTACTTTTGAAAGGGTAGTTCTTAGTGGAACCCACATTTTATGGCGACCGTGACAGGACAGAGAGAAAATACGGGTTTGTGAACGGCCGTAAAATCTTGAGTTGTCTTTCGTCGCTCTGTTTCGAATTCGTATGATAAAAGCGAAAAGACAATATCTGGACTTGAAACTAAAAAAAAAGTGCGTGCTGTAGTCCGTGGCTCGTTTACAAAATATGCCAATGAACTTTTGGCACAACCCGGAGCCGACGTGCAAGCAATAGAGGTATGTCGCGATATTTTCAACGACAAATTTAGTGAATTAAAGACTGTTAGCTTGGAGTGCTTTAATTTGCTTCTGGAAGAAGATGCAAGTGAAGCCGACTTGACCACAGATAGGGACAATTGCGATGCATATGAAAGGAGATTTAAGGAGTTCAGCATAAAAAATGTCAAAAGGGTGTCTGCAGTTACAGTTGTAGAGGAGGTTCAAGAACATAGAAGCGAGCATGATTCCGACTTCAGATACAAGGGTAAGCGAAAATTTAGACTACCTACCATACAATTTAAGCAATTTAGTGGTAATATTAGGGATTGACTTTCTTTTTGGTCCCAGTTCAAAACGATGGACGAGGATTCAGATATAGATGCGGCAGACAAGGTCGAATATTTAATTCGAGCTACCGTACCTGGTAGTCGAACCAGAAATCTGGTCAACAGCTTTCCTGCCACTGATTTGGTAAGGAGGATATACAGGTCGAAGTTTATGTTAGAGAGCTTTTGAAGGTTGTTTTGAACAATGCTGTCTCCAAAGCCAAGCCTGATGTATCGACCCTTATCGAGACTCAGTTACGTGCCCTGGAAACGCTTGGCATAACATCAGACAAATATTCATCCATACTTTTCCCGTTGATTGAGTCATGTTTGCCCGAGGAATTGTTAAGAGTGTGGCAAAGAACTTCAAGAATTCTCTGTGCTGAAATATCCAATAGAGAAGAGTCGGATGAGAATGAGTCTTCGTCTGGGGCATCCCATGTAAATTCTCTGAAAAATAGACTGAAAGCTTTACTTAAATTTCTAAGGAATGAGGTGGAAAACGAACAGAGGATTTCAATGGCATCAGAGGGATTCGGATTACAAAAGTCGGGGGATGTTACATCAGGAGAAGGAGGGAGAAAGTCAGGGAGTTCTGATTTGCGAAATGTGGTGCCTACTGCTGCTAATCTTGTAAATCAGGAGGAAAGTTTGGAGTTTCGTCACGACAATCGTGCTGCTAAATGTGTATTTTGTGAGAAAAGTCAGTTACCAGTGGCTCCGAAAAGCATGTTGTTAATGTGTTTTACAGACCTTAAGGGTTAAAATCAAGGGTAAAAATGGCATTAAGGAAGTGAGAGCTTTGATCGATACCGAATCCCAACGTTCGTACATTTTGAAATCCACAGTACAGACATTGCAAGTTGTGGCCAAATTAAAGGAAAATATTATGCATTGTCTATTCGGAGGAGTTTTGTCAAAACATAGTGTCTATGAGATTCATTTGTCGCAGGATAATGGTTTTGCATGTAGGTTTGATGTGTTAGATCAGCCTAAAATTTGCGGCGGGGTTCCTAGTGTTTTCCCCGGAGTATGGATGGATGAGCTGCAAAACTTAAATATTGAAATTAGTGATGTGGGAATTTCGACGACTGTTCAGTTATTAATTGGGTCAGATATAGCCGGGAAGTTATATACAGGTCGCACACAAAGGCTCAGCTTTGGAATAATAGCCATGGAAACTTTGCTAGGCTGGACGCTTATGGGCAAAGTCCCTATGGAGCCTAGTGAAGAAAATGTATCCAACAGCATTTTAGGTTGTTTTGTGATAGATTCCAACATAAGTAATCTATGGGAATTGGATGTACTAGGCCTTACAGACCCTGTGGCCAATAAAAGTAAACTTGATTTGGAAAAGGCAGCTTTAGAATTTTTTAAAGAGACTGTTCAAGTAAATGAAGACGGAGGTATGAAGTAAGACTTCCGTGATTGGACGGACACCCCCCGCTCCCCACCAATCATTCCGTTGTTAAGAAAAGACTTGAAACAACCTTGAAGAAGATAGAGTCAGAATTTTTTTATGAATCATATGATGCTGCTTTCCAGAAATGACTTCAAGAAGGTGTCGAACTCGTACCAGACAGCGATAACAACATGGGTCATTATCTACCACACAGACCTGTGATAAAAACAGCTTCCAGCTGCACAACTAAAATCAGACTAGTTTTTGACGCTAGTGCCAAAATGAAATGGAAAATTTCACTGAACCAGTGCCTGGAGAAAGGTCCTAACCTCATCGAGCGGATCCCGGAGATTTTAATAAGATTAAGGCAAAATAAGATTGGAGTGACCTCAGACATCAGAAAAGCCTTTCTGCAGATAAGTGATTATCTTACAGATTGAGATTTTTAAAAATTTATTTGGGTTGATTCTCAAGGAAATGAACAGGTGTACCGGCACAGGCGTGTTGTTTTTGGTGTGACAAGCAGCCCCTTTTTACTCGCAGCCACTATCAACCATCACCTTTTGGAAATATAAAAGTATAATAAAGGTACTTCTGTTTTTGATTATTCTATACTCACGACTTTAGCTGTCTTTAAATGTTTCTATGTGGACAACTGTGTGACCAGCGTACCGGATCTTGAAATTTTACAGAATTTTATACGTCAGTCCAGCATGATTTTGGTATAGGCAAAATTCGAATTAAGAGGGTGGGAGTTTTCTAATCCTACACAAGTTATTTCTGGTGGAACCAATGAACCCACGCCTCTCCTAAGACTTATCTGGAATACCCGGACTGACACTTTTGGGTATCAACAAGGAATATATTAGAGATTTGGAATCTCTTGTGGATAAACCAGTTACAAAGAGGATCATGCTGTCACTAACTCAGAAAGTCTTTGATCCTGTGGGATTTACGTCTCCAACTACCTTGATTCCAAAGTTGTGACTCCAGAAAACGTGGAAAGAAAAACTGACCTGGGATACTGAAGTTAGTCCCGATATGGAGAAATCGTTTCGAGATTGGACAAAAGAGTTACCTATTCTGATCGATATAGAGGTTCCTCGTTGGATAAATGGGCTTGATAATGAAAACGTAACGAGCTTACGCGTGTTCTGCGACGCAAGTAAAAATGCCCATGCGACGGCAGTATTTTTCAGGTGTATCTATCAAGATAAAGTTTATGTTACTCTTTTGGCTGCTAAAAGTCGAGTTGAGCCATTGAAAATTGGGTTCACTTCGACACCTATATGAATCGAGATGGTGGGAGGGTCCCAATTGGCTTCGTGAAAATCCTGCTTTGTGGTCCCAAGAAACTATTACCTTCAATGAGATAATTTCTGAAAAGAAGAAATGTATTGTAGCTAGTTTCGTCAATTCCGAGGCAGCTAAGAGTATGGTGGAATGGCATTTGACGTATTTCTCAAGCTACATCAAAACTGTTCGAATGACAGCTTGGATGTTGAGGTTCACACATAATGTTAGACATTCAGAAGATAAACGTGTTGGTGAACTGTCAGCCAAGGAAATTGACCAGGCAGAAATACTCGTTTTAAAATTTTTTTACAAATGATGATCAGCGGCTGAAGACATTGGCATTTTACGTTTGAAGTCTCGTATTGGCAATCGTAAAGACACTATTTCTTCGCATGCCGATAGTGCTACCATCTCGCCATGTCGTGACGGAGAGACTCGTTTTTGATTCCCACAGAAGGTCTTGTCATGTAGGAGTCCAAGGTTTATTGAGCTTGTTAAGAGAAAAGTATTGGATATTGGGCGGAAGGAAAAAAAAGTATCTTGGTAAAAATCTCTACGAGTAATGATTCTCGAAATATTTCGAATCCAAATTATCACTACCTGTCATCATTGACATAAATTAAACATGTTGTTGATAAAATTCGGCAGATTGTTGGCGGCATGGGGATTGCGAGGTTCAAGCATTCTGTTCCAGAGTCCAATTGACGAAAATGAGTGCACTACTAAGTACAGCTATCATGAGTGTCTAAAGGGGCGTTTCCAGTTTTTTTTTTCAGGCTTTTGCCGATCGGTACAGGCCAAAATGCAAAGCCGAGTAATGCAGACGCTTCAATCGGTACAGGCAGATCGGCTTTAAGTGCCGATCGGCAAAGTCCAACAGGATTCACCGAAAGTAGGTACATCAGAGAAGTCGAATAGAACGGCGTAGTCGAAACGTAAATACGATAAGCTTTGGTTCTTCCCGAACTAGCTTACTTCTTTGTTTTGAAGCGGCAAGTCCATATTTTTTTTCGATGGTAGAATAGTCATATATTATATCACGAGACCTATAAATTTAATCGATTAAACTATTCAAATATATTTTGCGCGTGATTTTGCTTGGAAAATAGTTGAATGCACAATAATTTAATAAAAACCGAGACCGCGAAGCAGTCGGAGGTTTTTATTTTAAAATTATTGTGCATGAAACTATTTTCTAAAAAGCAAAATCAAGCAAAAAATTATTTGGGTAGTTTAATCAATTAAATTTATAGGTTGAGTGATATACGGCTAGATTATTTTCTGAATGACTTAGAATGAAGCGAATGACTTAGGATGAAGCAAATAACTATAAGGATTTTATTAAGTATAAAATTTAACATTTTACTAAACCGTGAATTCATTTTCACTACAGCGGTAAATAAAATTTAAAGACGTTTCAAAATGACGTCTCGTAAGTAATGTTTGTGCTTCTGCTACCTTGGTTACGCATCCCAACAATGCATCGAGGACCGTTTCGCATGTCAACACATCAAATTCTAATGTATTTTCCTCCACTTATTTGTTCAAAATAATATCGAATAAGGGGTTTTCACCGATTAAAATCGTTATTAAGTCAAACATATGAGTTGTAAATCAATGTTTTTAAATGAACTGTTGCCAAAATCTGTCAGAATTAGTGATAAACGACAAAAAAAACCCAAAAGGAAGCCGAAAAAATAATCGCCGTTAAACTGGTCTTGGGATTTAATCACTTATCTAAACAAAATTTATTCCAAAAATTAGATTAGCTGATTGGTCCATTTTACGATGAGTGAAATAATCACAAAAAATGTGATTGCTCTGACTGAACTATACAGAGCCCGAAGTACAAAAGCGGCGGCAGCAATAATCTTACCCCCTTCTTCTTGAAACATGCCACTGAATAAACTGAAGAAAATTAATAGATGATTTCTATCAAAGGATTATTATATAATTTCTATTGAAACTGGAAACTTTCAGCTTTTCGGCATCACGAAGAACGCCCCAAAGACGACCGGCATTTACAAATCGCTCATTAGCAAAAGCCGACAAATGGGAACGCGCCTTAATGGAGCCGTGCTTTTGCCTCTTGTAGAACATATAATATAATTCAATTAATTTCTTTTCAAATTTGAAGTTATATAAATTTTTACTTATTTATGAACTTAAGTTGGTTTAGAACCTTAAAAAGACGGAATATATGTGTATCGGCGGCGAACAACAGAACATAATCCTAGAACAGCAACAGCAAGAGATAAGACACTGCCAAAAATATAAATATCTTGGCATGCACATTACCAACGATGGTAGCCTTGATGAAGAAATTAAGTACAGAAACAACCAGGGAAGACAAGCAATTAGACAACTCAACAGTATTTTATGGGATAAGGCCGTATCAAAAGAAAACAAACACAAAATTTATAACAGCATAGTTAAAAGTATCATTAGTTATGGTAGTGAAGTATGGCCTTTGAACGAAAGAAACCTTAAGTTACTCGAAGCTTTACAGTTAAGTTACAGAAATGGACTTTTGGAAGCGCGTGGCCGAAAAATTGAAACTGGATAGAGTTAGAAATGAAAGAATTCAGAACATCATGGGCGTTAAACACAGCATATCAGAAGACATCAAAATTAACCAACTCACGTGGTACGGGCACGTACAAAGAATGGAAGAAAGCAGAATCCCGAAAAAAATACTCAATTGGACACCACAAGGCAAACGAAAGAGAGAGAGAGACCTAGGCGGAGTTGGAGAGAAGGAATAGAGGAGGACATCAGAACAAGAAGAATAAACGAAAACCTCTGGACAGACAAGAGACCAATGGAGACTGGAAATCAGAAGACGGCGAAGAACGTTTAAACTAATTTGTATATAAAGTTGGTTTAGATTTTAGTTGGTTCCAATAAAATACACAATGTTTCTGTTTAATATTCCAAACATATTTCTGCTCTGATGTCACATAAATCTAAAACACTGAAACTGAGTATTCTTGGCCATATGTGTTATAAAAATTAAATGAAAATAGGTATTTTCAAAATCCGTATGTCAGAAAATAATAATAAAATAGAGATTATTTCAAGCTGCGTCACTGTCTTGGTAATTTGGCTCTTCAACAATAATATACTAATAGATACTTTCTTTTTTCCGATACTCTAAATTTAACGAAATATTGTTGAATAATTCGAACAACTTATTACTTGAAGGAAAAAACATTGTGTGTGCATTTAGTGCGCATATTTGAACTGAAACTTCTTCTTACTCACGTGTGTGTCTGTCCGTCTAACGACTCATTTCGAGTATCTCTATCCACGGCCGAGTTTGGTTCCAATCGACCCATAACTAAGAAAATTTCAGATGATTTCGTCCATTTTTGGGCATCGGTTCGAAACGTCCAGATTGTCATCCTGTAGCTCGTCAAACCGCCAAACCAAACCAAATCTACCCACATTATTCTTCAATATCAAATCCTTAGTCCCATCCTGATGAAGATGTAAACGAAACGTCGTATCCACCTTTGCAGGGTGGGACCATGTGCACCGTCGTTTACATAGCCTACCCAACAAATTTGGTCGCGATTGGACGACATTAATTTTTGATGTTTCTTACGTCAAAACTAACTGTCACAGTAACACGTCTCGTATACGGTCAAGTTGGCCTTGGTCCAGTCTATCGACATACGAAATTTCATTTAAATCGGACGATTTTTTGATTTGATCTATTGATGATGGGGTTTCGTAGTGCAAGAAGCGTCGTCAAAATATCACCAAAAGATGGGGCTTTTCGAGCCCCATCTACATTCCCATTCAGCCCCCCAGCTCACATAGGGTCCGAGTTAAGACGCTCCAAAGACCCATTACTGCAACTTCCTCTTTGACTTACCACTTTTTTTCTGGCTAGCTCGATTGTCAAGGCCGTGTCAAGGCCATGTCGTGACACGGCCTTGAATTTTTACTCCCATCACGCGTAAAGAAGTTTCACTTCAACAATATTTCGTTTTTTGGTGTCTAAAATTCGTAATTTAATTATTTTATACGTTTGTTTAAATTACAACTAACGAATTTGTATAAGAAAATAATAAGACGGTAAATATAATTTATTACTTACTTCACTACAATAGGCTTGTTTGGCTCGTTGATGCAATTTCGATATTGACGCGGGTGAATATCTATTACTTCCATTAAAAATTAAGTTCTCTCTGTTGTAAACATATTCACTTGGCGGATATAGTAAATCTGATTGAGATATTCCTAAAAGTTTACATTATAAGTAAATCAAATTAGTACTAGACGGTATATTATTAATGAACTTTAACTTTTTGTATATATAATACAATAGTGTAAAAGGTATCTGCTTAAAGGAAAACTTACTTTCAGAACTAATACTGTTAAATAGTTTGGAACCAGCCAATTCTTCTTTTAATCTGCTAAGTCTCTTTCCAGGATCTTCGCCTAATAACCAATAAGTATACATTTCACCCTTACCCTAAAAATTAATTTCGTTTGTTTTTTAATAATACTGATTAATTTTATTATCGAAATAAGTAAGATTTGGAGTTCCGAAAGAATTCGCTGTTTGAGATTTACATTTCAAAACTTTCTAAACAGCACAAGCAATTGTTAAAGACAATTGACAATTTTATTGTTAAGTTAAGATACAAAACGTTATCTTTAGACATAAAAATAACCTGTGAAACTATACAAGTATTTATCAGCGATTCTAAAATAATAAAAAATAAATTGAAAATTAATTTCAAAAGAAAAAAGACCAAATATTTAATTTCATCTATAATAAAGTAAAACAAAATAACATAAATAAATTTAGTAATGTACATTTGTGGCCAATAATGTGTTCTATGGAGATAATTCGAAGTGGTTTAAAAATAATTCAATTGTAGATATTCCCAAAGAAATATCTGATTTTTTATCTCTAGGTCGTAAAGTCGCAGTCCCGACAACATGGTTGCATACTTTTTCCCAGTTCATGATAAGGTGTGCCTTGACATTGTTGATAAGAGAAAAAACTCACCCGAAGATCCCTCCTCTTACCGACCTGTATGCCTTTTGGATGTGGAATTGTGGAAGGTAAGTTCTACGAGCACTTGTTATTAGCAAGATTAAAAAAAGATATTGAATACTCAGATGGCCTAGCTAAAAACCAATATGGGTTCAGGGAAGGAAGACACAGGGTGTGCAGTCCTTGAAGTAATCGAAATTTGCAAAGTGAGCATGGGACTACTCATCCCAAAATGGAAAAATATGTGCGATCATAATACTGGACGCGAAGAACTTATTTAACAGTGCTTTATGGCAGTTAATTCTGGAGAAGTTGAGGAGGAGAGGAGTAGATTAGAGCCTTTTGACATTGGTAAAATTATATCTGAGTGAGCGTAAGTTGATAGTGAAGTACGAACACGTAACCATGAATTTGGAACTGAGTATTGTCCTCCCTCAAGGCTCAGTTCTTGGGCTATTTCTCTGGAATGTCTTATATGACGATCTCTTGAGAACGGGAATGCCAAAAGACATAACGCTAATTGGATTTGCAGACGAAGGTAGCAGTTGATGAGGAGTGAGGACTGACTCATGGAAAAAAACTAAATTTTCGCCCCTGAAGTAATCGGAGTAATAGATGCATAGACCTTAGCAATGATAGAACCAACGTACACAACAGACAGGACAGAGCCACGGCGCGAAATTCCCTAAGGGCTAATTGGCAAGAGCGCTTGAAAACTAGTACAAAAGGCCGATGGACACAAAGGATAATCACAAATATTAGCAACTGACAGGATAGGCGCTACGGGAAGGTCGACTACTACCTCACCCAGGCCCTCTCAGGAGACGACTGTTTCAACGCATACACGTATAAAAGAAAAAGATCAAATACCGAGATTTGTACTTTATTTGTACTGTGAGGCAATAGATGATGTGGAACACACGCTCTTTGTCTGTCTTAAATGACACGAAGCGGACGCAAGAGAAATCTATCAGAAAGAATTAGGGAGGCGGTTTACTCTGGGGAACTTTGCCTTGGGCACTATGAGAGAAGAAAATGAATGGAAAATAGCCTATAATGTTATACGGTCGATCATTGGGACCAAAGAACAGGAAATGAGAATATCGGGACAAGTAGAATAGTAAGTCAGCTACCACGTTGAAGGAATGCGAGAGCGGTTCTAGCATGGAGCATGGATTGGCAAAGGGGTGTTTTTAGTCGGTAAAAACCCGAAACGGCCCACGACCATCCTAGATTGGGTGTCTTTTGGAGATTTTCCCTTCCATAAAAAATATATACAGGGTGCTACAAATTCGAAGTACGAGCATTGGTATCTCGGAAACCGTAATAGATACGAAGATGGTTAAATTGGGGCAAAATTGCTCCTTGGCATGTTCACCAAGATACCATCATAAAAGTTTTAAAAATTTCAAGGATTGCTGAGTTTTTTGGAAAAAACGGACTTTTTTGAAAATAAATTTTACTTTCCCCTGTCGTTACTTTTTAGAAAATCAAAAAACTAATTGCACATTCTCATAGCCACTTTATTAGGGCTATCTGATAGTATTTTTAGATTTTCAAATTAGCTGAGAATTTGTGAGATACAGAGGTCAACTTAATTTTTTTAAATACGGACCTGCATTTTTTATTTTAGGTTTTGAAAGACCTCGGTCTCCTGAGTACAATGATATGCCACACTTGATACTTTTTTTGTGGTAAAACAAAAAAAACTATTTAATTGTTATTTAAAATAATTTCAAATCCGACTCTGGTTTTTTAATTTATATAATCTGAATATATTCAGCACAACAATATTGATCAGCGGATCAGCAATTAACATTGAATAAAGAAAATTAATAAAACTTGTTTTGGACATTTGAAATGAATACATTTCAACATTATGAGTACAAAAACAATTAACAAGTAATAAAAAACAATTAAAGAGTACAAAATGCATTCGGAAGTATAAGAAGATCTGTTCAAAGAGCTATAAATAAGATGGAACGAAAAACAAATTTGTGCATTATGGAGGGTGGTAACCCTGTCGAACATGCAGAACATTAGAAACTAGTTTGTAGAAGTTGATTTACACTCACCGGCAAAAGTCTTGCACCCCCCAGACAAATTTATTTCTTTGCATAGCATATTGTTGTGGTTGTGTGTACAAATACCTTAATATGTGTCTACAAAAAATAGGTCATAAAAGCAATGAAAGAAAACCTTATCGATGGAATATGTATGGTTTTGCTATTTACGGTCAAATTTTGTTTCTCAGTTCGAGTTCAATCTTGTAGTAAGTGTTGTGAAAGGCAACAAAAATGCCAGGGCACGAAATTTCTGCCTTCGATAGGGCCCGAATTATCGCTTTACATGAAGAAGGTCTCAGCAGGCATCAAATTGCTGATCGTTTAAATTTAGTGCGAAGTACTGTCAGCCGAATTATACAACGGTATATGGACACCGGAAATGTAAGATCTCGGCCTAGGTTGGGCCGTCCAAGGATAACGACTGAACGACAGAATCGCTACTTGGCTCAATTTGCCAGAAGAAATCGGTCAGTTCCAATTCTAGAGCTACGATCTCAGTTTCAACGAACTTATCACCGAGTGATATCAAGCCGAACCATTTCCAGGCGACTTTCTAATGCTGGATTGTGGCGTAGACGTCCACTGCGAGTCCCTCTATTAACTTTACATCATAGACAAAGGAGGCTACAGTGGGCTAGAGAACACCAGAACTGGTTATTACCTCAGTGGAGAAACGTAATTTTCACTGACGAAACCAGGATAGGTTTGATCAGTGATGACTATCGTCAGCGAGTGTGGAGGGAGGCAGCATCGCTTGAATACAGCCTTTGCTGTTGCTCCTTATCAAGGAGGAACTGAGAGGTTCTAGTGTGGCATCATGTACAATAGGCGAACAGAGCTCATTCATATTCCTGAGGTGATGAACGCCCATTTGTATGTGGAAACTGTAATCAGACCAATAATTTATCCACTGCGAGAAGAAATCGGCAATAATTTTCTTCTCATGGATGATAACGCTCGTCCTCACAGAGCTAGGATAGTCCAGGAAGCATTAAATGAAGGGGAAATAACTCGTCTGGACTGGCCTCCACTCTCCCCCCGACATGAATCCTATTGAACATGTCTGGGACTACATCGCCAGAGCTGTATTTCGCAGAAATAACCCACCAACAAATCGCCAGGAGTTGATCATTGCCGCTCAAGAGGAATGGCAGAACTTACCTCAAGAAACCATAAATAACCTTATAGTGGGGATGCCCCGACGACTTGATGCACTCATAACAAATCGAGGAGGCAATACTTTATATTAGTAACCTTAACTTTGTCAGAATTTATTATTTATTTTCTCTTTTTTGTCAAATATTTTTTTCATGGAATTTGCATTTTTTATATTTTGGCAAAATATATTATTAAACTTGGTGAAAGTTTTCCCTTTTTTGTGTTATTTTTTAACATAACTTTAGCATCTATTGATTTGCACGAAAAATTAGTTTGGAATGTAATTTTTTATTAAAATAGTAAGGGGGTGCAAGACTTTTGCCGATGAGTTTATTTATAATAACTACGATTAATATTATGCATATTACTCGTATATTACTCGATCGTACACTGGGATTTCAAAATCAGAAAAAAATAATACAAAAAGTTAAAAATAATAATCTTTAAATTGCCGACCTGGATATTAATTATTTGAATCTTTCAATTGACGTGATTTTCCTTATTCAATGTTAATTAGCACTGATCAATATTGTTGTGCTGAATATAATCAGATTAAATAAATTAAAAAACCAGAGTCGGTAATTATTTTAAATAACAACTAAATAGTTTTTTATTGTTAAGGTATCCAAAACAAAAAAAAAGTATCAAGTGTGGCATATCATTGTACTCAGGAGACCGAAGTCTTTCAAAACTTCAAATAAAAAATGCAAGTCCGTATTTAAAAAAATTAAGTTGGCCTCTGTATCTCACAAATTATCAGCTAATTTGAAAATCTAAAAATACCATCAGATAGCCCTAATAATGTGGTTATAAGAATGTGCAATTAGTTTTTCATTTTCTAAAACGCAACGACAGGAAAAAATAAAATTGATTTTTAAAAAAATCCGTTTTTTTCAAAAAACTCAGCAATCCTTGAAATTTTTAAACCTTTTTTGATGGCATCTTGGTGAACATGCCAAGGAGCAACTTTGCTCCGATTTAACCATCTTCGTATCTATTACGGTTTCCGAGATACCAATGCTCGTACCTCGAATTTGTAGCACCCTGTATAATAGTTTTTAGGTAGAATACTGCATAATATAACTTTTTGCTGTGTATATTTGTCATAAAATTCCCATTCTAAAAATAGCGTATTGTTATAATCTAATTGAATTGTTTTTGAAATATAGTCATTATAAACTGAATTTTCTTCATATTCAAAATTCTCTCAGATAATAAATCGGTAAATTTTCTATGGGGTTTAATACCTTGATATTTACCACACCTCTGTCTTCACAAATATATCCTCCCAATTGCTGCAGTAGTTTATAGGTAGCATAAGATATATGTACTTTGGAAGGTTCTCCCGAACTCTCCATTCGCGAAGCCGTATTTACTGTATCACCAAATAAACAGTACCTTGGCATTTTGAGACCGACAACACCAGCAACAACATGACCTGTAAACAGAGTAAATAAATATACTTAGCAATATTTTAATTTTGGCATCGATCGATAAGTAGTTTCTTTCAACCTAAATAAACGCAAATCCAAGACACATGAAAAAGTTATTGTTACACTGTGTATCAATAGCACAGAGTGCGCGGATAGTTGTTACCGGTACCTGTTTTGTTTTGAATTTAAAAGCCTTAGTACTAGATCAATAATAGCATGATCAGCAGGTGATTAAAACTCAATATATTGGTCATTCGAAGTCTGTTGGAAACATTCTTTGAGGCCACCAATTTTTTGAAATTTTAAATCCAACAATAAATTGCTTGCACTATAACATTTCTACAGGGATACAAATGTGTCATCGGTGGCCTTTTCCGATCTTTTTTATTTGAAATAAAATAAAAAAATATGCCTGAAAATAATACAGAGGCTGCTGCAACAACCCCCAAATTATTAATTGATTATGAACTCATGAATTGCGCCGTATCTTCACGACAAACAAGGAGATACGCAGTGGAGCCGGTACGGTGTAACGATACGAACTTTATTGTAGATATATCTGTACGTGGCCTTTATAAACACTTTTATTTGTACTTTTACTTTCTTAAACTCTGATGCTTTTTATATATTTGATATCAATTAAACTTTTAGTTACGTAATCGAAAGCGCGATTTTTAAATTCATTCTTGCCTACCATGGATATATTCGGCGCCGGGCTGACTAACTGGAATTTAAATTTCGCGCTGGGGATTCAGGTGGTAGTTCTGCTGTAAAAAATGTCAAGTTGCCGCATTTATTTCTTTATATCCTGACATTGTCATTCGTTTTCACACGTTAGTTTTGTATTACAAGTTTTTGGTATAACCTTTTACCCTTAGAAATAAAAAATATTAATAAGATCCAAGTATTTAAGAAAAAATGTAGAACTTATATTGTTGAAAATAATAATGTATTTAAGATCTTGTTCTAGTTGTTATCAATTTTGTACTTTTTAGGTTATAGTTTTTGTAATTATTTAGGAATATATTTACAGGGAATAATTGTTTAGGGATATACTATACTTAGTTTATTTGAAATATTTAAATTGTAACTATTGCACATACAGGTGTTTGGTCATCTGGGTGTTTCTTGGTTACAATTTGAACGAAAATTATCTTAGTTTATTACTTGTATATTGTCCTTGTAATAATATTAAATCTTTGTGATTTTTTTTACATAATCTGTATCAATGTATTATGAAGTTAACCTTGTGGGTACATTCTAAGATAATACACGTAGTATGGATACAGGGGTACTGTTCCCGCCTAAAATAATAATAATAATAATAATTTATAATTAAGCTTAATCACGTGACTAAAAGTTTATTTCGTCTATGAATTTTCTGAGAATAACAATGAATAAATAATATTTACCTGAATGAATACCAATCCTTAATTTAAATACATCTCCTGGTTTATGTTTTATTTCAAATTTTTGTATTTTTTTAAGAAGGTGTAATGCCATTGAAGCTATTTCCCCAGCATGTCTATTACCATTGCGAATTGGTAAACCACTTACGACCATATAAGCATCTCCTATAGTTTCAACCTAAAAATTACATTACTCAGTCATATTACCATATACATATATCGGATGTCTCATTTAAAGGAACAAAGATGTTACTAATTTTCGTATAAAGTGGCAACATCAGAATGTGGAATCTATTATCGCCGTGATTAAATAATATGTCAATATAGCAAAAGCTTATACAATTAGAGATGAGCGAGACTGGTCTTTTGATCTGCGGCGTTTAATCTGGCTAGTGTTTGATCTGCGAGACCAGTCCAAGACTTCTACGAGACCGAGACCAAGATTAACTATGCGAGACTCTTGCGGTTTTGTGGTCTTGTATGTTCTGTGGAGAAAGTAGCTTTAGTAAACATATATTAAAAAGCGCAAGAACAAAAATCAAAAAAATAATTAATGTCATATTTTCTTTGTCCATATTCATATTATTTTAAGCTCAAATTGTAAATTTATTTTTTAAAAATGACATATACACAAAAGAAAGACAGACGATGGATGAAGCCAGTGTCAAAGACAGAGACAGTCAGAATTTTTCTAGTAATCCAATATGTTATAAGTTTTAATATACTGTGACAGAATTTGCAGCACAGTGTATGCTTATCTATACCATGTTTCGTCAGTTGCTGAAGTAAACGATGACATTTTTATCCTAGTCTGTTTACAAGTAACCAGACTCGATTTAGGTACAAAAAAAAAGATTTTATTTGAGAATTTGTTTGGAGATATTCAGTTTTATTTCCTATGAGGTATTGAGAACATTGTTGTAAAACATCCTGTAAGAAGAAGTGAATTTGAACGAGATAGGCCTATGAGAAACAGAGATGTCCTTTTGGGAAATTGAAAACAGCATGGGCCGGAATGCTAAAATAGTGATGCTAATGTTAAACAGAGTAATCTGCATATCGTCGCCATGCACGTCGTAGTGGCACTGCAGCTTTAAGAAGAACCAATGATCGCGAAGAAAGGCTCCTAAATTGCAGCATTTCAGCTCAAGCGCACAATCGGACATGAGCGAAGAGGTATCAATGGATCAGCAGATATCCATGAGATCAATTTATCAAAGAATTAGAGCTTATGGTCTACAGTGCCATTAACCAATAGACATAGATAGCTACGTCTGGCATGATGTCAAGAACGGGGTTCAGAACGACTAACTACGACTCACGTTTTGTTTGTGGGCTCACGATGGTTGCAGAAGAGTCCGCCGTAGATATGGAGAATGGCGCCAACTTCAATTTTGCATATCGCGCGAGACTGCGCTATCTAGGAGATTCTGATTTAGTGTACCATAACAGTTGGAAGCAGGTCACCTTCAGATTTTTCTAGACAGAACCATGAATTCTTCCGTGGCCCATAAGTTCACCAGGCTTATCGTCTATTAAATATGTCTGGGACGTCCCAGATATGTTTAATAGACGATAGGTACAGTCTAGTAAACATGTCTGGGACGTCCCAGACATGTTTGATAAGTACAAGGCTGAGTCGGTTGCCGCATCTTATACTGAATGTATAATGCCTACGTCACGAGTAACATTAGCCTTTGAGAACGTACCACAGGAAGATATGGATCATCTGATTCGCAGCATGCCACGAAGAGTTATAGAATGTCAAAACTTACACGGAGAACTACAACTCACTATTAAATTGTTAAGAATTCCTTTCAATACATTCATTTGAAAATGTGATTAATAATTATCTGCCAAGTCGCCAAGTCGACCACAGCCGGAACATCCTTTTTTCGAAGGTATATTAGCGGTACTTTTCATCACCCTGTAACTTCGTTGTGGATAAAGCAAGAATATTAATTTTCATTACACATGAGGACATATTATAGCTGGCTAGATTACCAAAATATCTAGTAATTACCTCATAGTTTATGAATTATCGTTTGTCAAATTTCTTTAATTTCGACATTGACTCACTGACACATCATCAAAATTCTAAGGTACTTCTAGAAGAGTTACAAACTTCAAATTTTAAATTTTAGGTAATTTTAAGATTAGAACCAAAGGAAAAAATGACAAATCTCGAACTAGCCGTTACCGGTAATTGACTTTCCAGTCGAGAAAAATGAAAACCGGAATTAATCGAAGCGGTCTCTTCTGATTTTATTTGTATACCAATGATTACGAATTTTTTCTAGTCAAACTTCCTTAATTTCGCCAGCGACTCACTCACCGTCATCAAAATTCTAAGATGCTTCTAGAAATTTTACAAACTTCAAATTTTGAGTTTTAGGTAGCATTAAGCACATAATAAAAGGAAAAAATGAAAAATCCCGAAATATACTTATGGATCAAAAGTTAGCCGTCTAGCCGTTTCGGGTAACTGACTTTCCGGCGATGGTAATAGGGAGCACCGGTGATAGGATTTTTATATAAAGGTACCTGCTCCATCTATCTAAAATATTACCAGCGTTACAGTCTTGCCGGATCATTTGAAAAGTGGTAGCATCTTTGTTATTTTAAATGGAATACCCAGTATATTATTACATTTTTGGAAACTACTCTCATATCATAATTTTCCTATTATACCTAACCTACATCTGTCTCTCATACTTTTCGAGATAAAAAATAAAATATGTGTAACTGACAAAAATATAATTTTGAATAAGCATTGGTAAAATCATGAATTTAACATTCTTAAAGTTGAAATTTGGGTTATAACGAAAGTCGGAAACACAAGTCGTTAGAAAACCAGAATTAATCCATTTGATATTATCTGACTTAATACAATAATTCAGTGTTGATGAATTATTGCTAGTCAAATTTCTTAAATATTATTTTGAATAATATAAGATGACTAATATAGATACTAACAATTTGTAACAAAATGGTTGAATAGGTGCTTAAAGAGAAACAAAAAAAAACTGTCTTGGTTTTACATGAGATCTCACAAGATCTGTGCACACCGTGTATTTTATGCGAATTTCCATAGGGGTCATTTGTAAAAGATATCTTTCTTATTTAAAATTATTAGAGACATACCTTGTAAACATCATAATGTGATATTATTGAATCAAACAGAGTGTACAAATCATTGAGCAAATCAATCACTTGTAATGGTGTACTAACGGCAGATAACTCCGTAAACCCTACTATATCACTAAAATAAATGGTCACACATTCAAAAGACTCAGCTTCTACCTTCTCGCCTTTTTTCAAAGCGTCTGCCACTGACCTTGAATACAAAAAAATATTATTTGCGAAAATTTAGTACAGTTGTACAAATATAGGAAGAGACTTGGGGATAGCACCGGTCGCGTGTTATTTTATATTTCTCACGTCTCTAGCTATACTTGTTAAGGCTCTCCTTCCCACTGGCGCCAGCCTAGCATTTGTAAGGGTTTGGCTGTCACAAAATTCTGCAAAAACCATGTGAGCTTTCTTCACGAATCTTTTTTTATTTGTTTGTATACATCTTAAGACGTGCTTATAATTATATTTCCTTCCCCAAACTCAACTCAAACTGTTTCAAATTTACCCCTAAAACGCCCTAAAAAAAGATGATTTTATAAGTAATTTTTTTAGCATTAAATGTATTCAAATCGATTTTAAAACTAATTACGAGCATGTCCGGAAGCTTCCTTAATAAAGTGAAACAAAAATTATTTCAAAATATTAAAAAACATGGTCGGAATTTGGTGACGCCCGACCCTCTGCAAACCCAATTTTGATCATTTTTGTTGCTCGTAATCTGGCGCCCTCACGTGAATTTTGTTGCTGACGCTTTTGAAGGCGAGCAAAGGAAACCAGGTACGTATTCGAATTATTTGGATTATTTGGATAAATTATTTTATAACTCTTGTCTCTTACGCAATAATTTGAAATTTTTATTTTGTAATCAAATCACACGGCAAAGAAAATTTGCGTTGCATCTATTGTATGTGTATGGTCATTGATCATGATGCAATGTAACAAAACATAAAACAATAAATAATTAATAAGATGGTTTGACCACTGTGAAGTAATGGAAGTCCACAGTAACTTGGACATAAGCGAAAATTAGAATAAAATCGTTATATCGCATTAAATAAAGAGATAGTACATGATACATGATACAGAGATTACATGATATAATAATTGTTACTACCTATTCTTACTTTGCTCTATTATGTTTAAATTGTTTAAAAAATCAATATTGTTAAAAGTGATAAAAATTATACTACTATGTATTATACTGGTGATAGTTAAAGTGCCATAATAGTAGTACTCTACAAACAAAAAATAATTCGTTGAAGAAAAAACACACCAAAATAAAATAAAAAACACTGAGATATACTAAGATGATATCTTTACTAAAAAAGTATGTACTACATACCGATCGGGACAGGCCAACTCTGTGTATAGGATTTTAACGTGTAAGACAGACATCCAATTGAGTCATAAAGTTTAGAACTGTTCCGCGCCATATGGAGGCACGAGGCTATCGCGCACAGCTCCTTTCAGAACCATTCTCGAGTCGCCCAGAGCGTAAACCTCTGGAACTTGAAATTCGCGAATGGAGGACAGCAAATCGGCACCCAAAGCCGTGTGTACATATAATTAAATAAACTAACCGTAAAACAAGCTATTACTTAATCACGTACATCCGGAGTTACTTAATAAGACAAATAATCAATTAATTACATAATGTAGTAAATAGCGCAAATTCTATTGTCGACCGATCCGACTTAATAGGTAATAAACTTCGCATTCTTCTCTCGTATGATATAGTCTTTTCTCTCTCAGAATATCGTATTATACTGAACATGTTGACTAAACTCTTCATATACACGACAACTGGCACCCAAAGCCACGTATTATTAAATATAAACTAACCTTTTGGTTAGTTTATTTATTGGTTATTTTTTGTTTCTTTATTACGTTAGTAACGTACGCAGTTATCTAAGATAGATATAGTCTTAGATAATATATGGATATAGATCCAAGTTTTGAATTTCTTCATGGCCGTAAATTTTAGATTTTATGTAACCCCATAAAAAGAAATCATTCACCGAGAAGTCAGGTGAAATTAAACGTCAGTCTAAACAAAACTGTCATTTTTGAAAACTTGTCAAAATTTGGACACACGCTAAATGGACTTGATTTTCCTATGTCTCGAAGTCTGTGGACTTTTCTGTATAATCTCACAGTAATTTAATAGATTGCTCGTCATATTATATCAGCTCGTAGGAGATTAGGAAAAAAAAAGATATTTATAGTATAAAAAATTAATTTATTTAACAAAATTTAAAATATTTTCAATCTAATAAATAATTTAATGATGTAAATAAGAGGAAATTTCTCACATGGGTGGTCAAATTCTATAGTTTTCATTATATCAAACAGCCTCTGAATGTTTTCTTCAGTGCAAAACTCATCAAAATTTAATATAAATAATTTTTCCAGCCTGTAAATAAAATGAACAAATTTTTCCACTTTCATGATCAAAGGCTTTTAAATGGGTAAATAATTTCGAGTTATCCAGAGATTCGGATTCTTTTGCAAATTTTAGACAAATATCACATTGATGTATTTGAAGACCCTTTTTAATGATGTAGTCAAACATAATTAAAGGCATTTTGAGTTGAAAACATTTCTCAGAGGCTGTTTGATATAATGAAAACTATAAAATTTGACCACCCATGTGAGAAATTTCCTCTTATTTACATCATTAAATGATTTATTAGATTGAAAATATTTGATGTATTAAAGTTTACAAATAAAGATTTATATAGTCGAAAAAAGTCCGATAGAACCAATAGAAAGGTAACTATTTTGTCACATTTTTAATTAAATTTTGTTAAATAAATTAATTTTTTATACTATAAATATCTTTTTTTCCTTATAAATAAACACATTTGCATTCCATTTTAAATAAGATATACAAATTACCAAAACTTAGAAATAACAGTTCAAAAGTTCAACAAAAATCCTACACGCGTTTTTAAAAAGAAACATATAACCACGCATTACGTCATTCCAGCAAGCGAATACGACACAGCATAGGTTTCCGGACTAAACCACTGGTGTATTTGCACCACTCAATAGGCGTGTCGGGTTTGCCGAGCGGTTTCCGATGCAGTCGCTTTCTTTCGCATCTGTTATAGGTAATTTGTGGTATTGTTTTTACTTTTGCAACTAAATAGTCGGCCGACTAAAAATTACAGGTCTGCACGTAGGCTTGTTTTATCGAATTTCCCTCCACAGTATCCGTACTATTTAAAATCGTAAGTCAGGGAATTGAAAATGTCTTGTTTTTCAAATTAATATATTTTTTAGAAAATATGCGATAATTGTTTTGAGTAGTTTATTTTTTTAAATATGTAATTTTTCTTTATTGAGATTTAAAACAAAAATTCGAACCAGAAAACGAAAACTATTCTAACTAATGATATTATTTGACAATATGCTATTAGCTATGCAGAGGTTGTTAGAGGAAGTTTATCTAACACTGAGAGCTCGAATTGTCATCGGCATCGGAGTCGATTTGTGCTCCCATCATGCTCATTCTTAATCCTGCCTACACGTTTACGAACCGGCAACACTGTATCCCCCCTTTTATTTTGCGTCTCTCTCTGTCAACCGTCCAATTGTATTATTCTCTGTCGTATCCATTAAAATCCTATACACAGTAATTGAATGACCAGGACGGTATACTACATATAAACATTTATTATATTAGATAATAATATTGTTTAAAAAATGGACGATTACGATGGACTACTTAACTTTTAACAGAGATATTTCTAATAGGCATATTTCTAGATTTTCTAGGATCCACCAATTCGGTCAAAAGACATTTTATGTAGAATTCCGTAAGCTGTTTTTTAGTTTTTTTCCAAAAAACTTCATCTTTGAAAATAATTTCGTGTTTAATCCCCAAGAGTGTCCACACAGGAAACAACAGAGGGCCAGGGTCACTAAAAACATTGATTATCTCCAAAAAAAAAGATATTAATATTTCATAAATCTTGTTATCAATTTACAACAAGTAGGCTTTGGAGCATCACAAAACAAAAGCAAATGAATAATGGAATTGTCTTAACTAATAAAATGCTATTATATCGCAGCAGAAGTGTCTCAATTTTGTAATTTTTTTAAAACGTATATTTTAAAGGTAAAGGGTAAGTTTTTACTGTTTTTCTGCTCTTTCACATTTTAATAATATTTTCCCATATTTGTATTAGGGTCATTTTTGTTAAAATATATTTTTCAAAAAAAGCCTTTAAAATTTATGAACGATTTAAAAAAAAATGTAGAAATATCATATTTTTTATACATGTCATTCGCTTAGGTAGTCCTTACTCTTTTATGTCGAGCAAAATAAATCTGCCCCAAACTGCCACCCTGTGTGGTAGAGCATATTGTTTTGTTGGATGCACAGTCCGGCAACAGTGCGTCAGGCATCTGTAGCTTCTAGAATAAAAAACTTTTCTAAGTTTGCAAGTATGTACGAGGATGTATTTCAGGAAAATTTAACTTCTCTAGGGTGGCTCATAAAAGTGTGAGTGGACCGGGATGATTTTTTTAAATGGGACACTCCGTATATTGTTGCATTTTTGGCTTCCTTTCTGATCACTTTACATAATCCTAAGATAAGATGTAAATATATTTGGATAGTTTCAGAAATATTAATAAATAAATAAAAAATATATATTTTTCAATAAGTTACAAAGTAAGTTGATAAAATATTGCATTTTCAAAATAATTACAAATAAAATGAAGGTACAGCTCTTATCATATTTTTATGCAATTGTCTCAAAAGTCTTAAAAATCGATTTTTAAGAAAAAACTAGTTTTATAAAAAGTTCATTACTTTTGACTTTTGAGACACCCTGTATAACAATTTTTTTTACATATTATGATGCTTCTAGGCTCATACATTTTTTGGAAAATAGTTAAGGTGTGACTTTGACCTGAATCTGCGAAAATATGATTTTTTATGTGGGTTAATATTGTAACACCCTGTATAAACCATTTCCTATGCACTAATAATTGTTAATTTTTTCATATTTTGTATTGACTTTGTAATTTTAACACATATTGAATAATATCTACGAGCAAAATAATTTTTCCATAAAATATGGTCCACCGTTGGGATTTTGGGCGCCGTTGACCCTGGATTTATCGAGAGATTCGTAAGTGCAAGTAGTCGATGCAGCGTCTTCTGTTAGTTCAAAAGCTACCTCGTCTCTTCGGATTCCCCGTAGGTGTTTTAGTTTGTCTAGGGAAGGGCAGCCTTAAGTTGTACAGAGATTCCCTGTTTCATATGATTTATCGAGTTTCTCGCTTGTATAGGTGCAAATAAAAAATACGGTTTATATTTTAGTCGGGTACTATTTCATAAAACAAAAAATGGTAAAATTAAATATCATATTAACAGTCATACAGGATATTTTCTTAAGTTGCCTAGTTGCCAAGATATAAGGTATGCTTAAAAAAGCATACCTTATATCTTGGATTTTTATAGTAAACGAAAAAATGATTTTTTTCAAGTTTGTATCCCAATCTGTTATCCTTTTTTTAATTGAACCCTATTTGTATATATAGTTGCAGTATAAAAATATTCTACTATTCTGAAAATTCAAAACTCTTAAAAAACCTTTTTAAATTCATGATGCTTGATGAAAACAACAATTTATTAAAATCGCTCTGTAGCTTAGAAGCGAAGAGGCTATGACAAATGTAGTTATAGCGTTAATGTAGTTATAGCTCATCAATGAGAATCCCTTAAAACACATTAAAACAGGATAGACTTAAACATCGTATCTCATGATTATCACGTCATCTTGATTATCATCATTATCATATATACATCATCACATCATAGGTTCTGTAAGATGTGTTGAATTAATTAGAAAATTGATAAAAATCTTAGGAATATAATTACAAAATGAATTTATGCTCAGATAAGCCCTATAACCTCTTGCCCGGTGGCGTAGAGGTACAGGCTCTCGTCTACCAATCTCAAGATATGGGTTCGATTCCCACACCCGGCATTTCATCAGCCGACTATTTTTATTAAAATAAAAATAGTTTGGGTACCTAGGTCGACTCAGCCTTAAATGAGTACTTGGGATTCACAATCCTGAGGTAATAATAGGCGGTTGAAGCGTAGTGCTAGCCACATTACCTTCCTTGTATACCGAATGGCTCTAGTATAGCAAGCTGTACCTTGCTACTCCCAAGGCGTTAAACGCTATATACGGGAGCTATTATTATCATATTAAGCCATATAATTTTTATAAAACAATAGGGAAATATTTATTCAACAACCTTGGTAGGGGTAACAAACTTACCTTGGTAGCATACGGTAAAGTAGAGCATCTGTTTTCTTCTTCTCTTCGGTTAGCTGATTTGTACGTTCTTGCACTAAACCTTCTAAATTATATGCATATTTTTCCATTATTGATAACATATTGTCAAAAATGTTTGGCTTTAATCCAGCCTAAAAAATTTTCTTAATATAAAATAACGAAGAATATCTAATTACCATCAATCTTTTTTTTTCATATCTTAATAAAAAAAGTAAATATGTCTTACTAAATGTTTTAGCTTTAGATACTTGCATTTCATAATTAAATAATTTTAGAACTTTCGAATCATCTAAAATATTTTTTCTTCTAATTAATAAGTCTTTCTTCATATAAAATGATTAAAGGATACTATTTGTTGTAAATTGCGCGAAGAAAGTTTTGAATCGGATTCTTTTAGAAAGTATACAATTATACTGACCTGCATTTCTTTTAATCTCACTCTGACATATCGTATATCTGGCCGTTGTTCGGGATATTCATTCCAACAAGCTTTTAAGCAATTTATAATGTATTTTGGAACTCGCAAGCCTTCTAAAGAAGGCCTAAATGGTACATCTGGATTTTCTTTTACTACTTCCTTTATAATAGCTAAGACAAATAAATTAATACACATTAAATTTAGTAACGAGGTAATTCGTTAATTTATCTATAAGTACTATTATTAGAAAATATTTTCGTTAAGGATGGTCATTCCCCTCAAGTCCTCTCCTTCGCTTCGGCCATGGGTGGCACCGTTTGAAACTTTATTTCTGGATTGGCAAAGTAATCTCAAAATGATTAACATCAGTGGTGAATGAAGGAGCTCAAATTGAGGTTTTGGGATTATTTGCTGGAGAGCCCACCAGCTCCTTGCGAACATTAACACAATAGACACAGTAATATCACACGAGACTGTAAGAAAAACGCTGAAAATGCATACATTCCATCCAAATAAAATGCAGATACTTCAAGAACTCTATGAAAATGATTTTGATAGAAGAATAGAATTTTGTGAAATCATGAGTCGTCGAGTCAACGCCAAATCTAACATTCTGCCAAAATCTGTTTTTCCGATGAATGTTCATTATTTCTAAATGGAAATGTTAATAAACAAAATTGGCTATATTGGAGTGACGAAAACCCGGCCTCCAAGATCACCGGATTGAACACCCTAGACATCTTTCTTTGGGGACATCTTAAATCCATTGTTTATAAAACACAACCTACTGATATTGATGATCTTAAAAGGTGAATTACAGCAGAATGCCGGTCAATTCCCGGTGAAGTTTTCCGAAATGTTAGGTACGAGTTTGAAAACAGACTTTATTATTGTTTACAGGAAAATCGACAACATTTTGAACAACTTATAAGATAGAGCGTAAGTGGTGTAACCTAATCTTCTAATCATTTGCACTACAAGAAGATCCACTGCAATAATTTTTGTGTGAACACACACTAGCCTGAAAACCAAAATCTCAATGCAGGCATATTTAATTATCTCTGCAACTTTGAAACGCGATTATTCGGAAAACTCTGGGTCAAAAAGTAACAAAGTAGATACCACTGAAAAGAGAATTAAACGCCCTTTAAAACGATGTACCACTTGACCCCCATTCCTATTTAAGATTGTAAGGGTGGCTTCTACCCCTCCTAGGGGGTTGAAAGAAAAATGCTAAAAATATTAATTTAAAGTGTTCCCTTTACAAATAAAATTGACGTGTCTTTCCGATTTTTCATATTTTTAACTGCAAGAAAGATATGGGTGGGAAGTTTTAAAATTGATACAGTGTATATAAAATAAATTGCAGAAGTTTTTACCATATGCCACCATTTTGTTAAAATGAGCAAACTCTATAACTTTTTCCAGCTACAACTTATAAACATTTCTGCGTTCTAAATAAGTCATGTTCTTAAGGACAAAAATAGATGGCGACACATAATAGAATGGCAAAAAATGTCTATACCTATGTGGCGGATTCATCTCTCCAAAAAAATCCTTCGCCACTATTATCGCCGACGGAAAGAGTAACTTTCCGAAATGTTAAGCATTTTTTCTTTGTTAGGCAAATTTATATAACTGTAAACATAACTTCTGACAAGCAGTGTCCGTTTAGGTTTAACGCAGAAGTGTTTACAAAAAATAACTATTTTATTTTGTAGATATTCTTGCAGTGCAGTAGCGAAATACTCATAAAGGATTTTTTTGGAGGAATAGAATGGTAGAAGACGCAATCAGTAAACAAAATCTCTTAGAGTAACTCACTTCAAATGGATTTGAAAATTACATTAACCTAGTAAAAATTTATTTAAATAACAGACTCACAGGAGTCACAGAAAGCAATAGTAGCATAGATTCATATGGCCTACCACCCGGTGGTAACTTACCACCACTGCTATACATTCTTTATACCAACGATTTATGCGAACAAGTTTTAGATAATTTTTGTTACTTTCAAAAACGTCTGCCATGACCTTGGAAGCCCGTTAGTCGTCTGCTATTGATATTTTTTAAAAATAATGGTTGTATATTGTAAAATTTATAAACGGCTCTGTTATAAAATACTTTTAAAGTTGGTGAAATTTTGACACCTGGCGCACCTAAGAAACTCAAGGGTTCACCTGGCTGGGCGTCGCGAAACTCCATCTCATAGTTGGCAAGTATGAGACACTCATTGAACAAAATTTCAGGTTTTATAAATTACATATAGGTTTCCTGTCACTGGCTCTTAGACCAGTATGGAAATTTTTTTGAAAAAATATAAACGGGATTGGCCATTTTAGAACAAGCAAAAATTTTTATGAAGAGAGAATTTTTCTCAAAATGTCAATAATAAAAAACTTTTTTCTCTTCTAAAGACAATCCGGGGACATACTGTATAAGTTATCAGGGTCGTACTACGGTACAGTTTATTTTTATGTTAACTTCCCCTGTACACATAAAATTTATATAAATTAGTTTAATATTTAGAGATTTAGTTATTATTATTTTTTTATTAAAGTAAAATATAACCAACTACCTGTAGCTTCCATAGCAACATCTCCCCAGGGTCCAGATCGTCCAATAATTTCGTATAGAACTATTCCAAAGGAGTATACGTCTCCTTTTTGTGTTCCACGCTCTGGTGGAGATTGCATTCTTAGGAGTTCGGGTGCTCGCCACAGCATTCTTCTCATTTCTTTCAAAGCAAAATTAGGATCCTCTTGGCCACCTATATGTATAGAAATACAAATGTGTCAAAAATATTTCAAAAAGTTTAGCCGAATAATTTATCCTACTTTTAAACTCGTGTAAACCAAAGTCTGAGATTTCCAACACCCAACGGCTATCAATTAAACAGTTGCTTGATCTCAAATTTCCGTGGGATATAATTTCACTGTCGTGCAAATAAATCATTCCCTATAAGTATAAAAATAATAATGTAATATACGATTTTATATTTGAAGAATATTGAACACGAAAATAATATCTTGTTTACTTTTTAAAAACTTTTTCAGTTCGACTTAGTCGATAGTTGCTTGTGTTGTTGTGTGTGTGTTGCTGTGTTGTTGTTGCTGTATTGTGTTGTTGTGTGTAACTTTGTGCGACAGGTGCTTAGTGGTGTTATCAAGATGAACGGCGATTCGACTAGCTACGACTACATGGATTTCGATTGTAATATCAGCTGGGTTGAAGATCAAACTAAGAACGAGGAACCTGGACCGTCCGGATTGCAAAAGAAAATAATTAATAGATATTAAGTCCACGGATATGCGCTTCCGTGGACTTCCAACAAATATTCATAGAACAGGAAGTTCACTTGGCTTTTGTAGATCTTAAAAAGGCCTAAGATATAATACCCCGCCAAAAATTGTGGAAGGCTCTCGAACGGCTAGATGTCGATCTAGTAAAAATAATTAAAGAACTGTATAATAACAATATCTCACTCATAAAAGTAGGATATCGACTGTCTGAACCTATAATAACCAAAAAGGGTGTTAGACAGGGTTGCAGCCTCTCCCTTTTACTGTTCAATACCTATGTAGAAGTTGCACTGTAGTAATGGAAAAGACAATGTGAACCTATGGGCATTCCTATAGGCGCACAAAAATTATTTATATTAAATTTCGCTGACGACCAGGTGGTGCTTGCGCAGGATGCTTTTCACCTTGAATATATGATGAGAAGACTCTAAATACAATATGAGAAGTGGGTTCTACAAGTAGTCTTAAAAACAGAATATCTAGTAGCCAATAGTGAAGCGGCCTTTGAAGTTCTGATTACGGATGAAACTCAGGTCACACAGGTCGACAACTTTAAATATTTGGGTCAATCGTAACTAAACAGGACACTGGAGAGAACGAGATTAAACTCCACATTCAAACTGACAAAAGAATGGGGGGATGTTTGAATTCATTATGGTGCGATTAGTATCTCTTTCTTAGAACCAAAAAAAACGGCTGGGACAAATATTGGTTGAATCTGTGGTGTGCTATGGTTGTAAAGTATGGGCTCAAACAGCTGAAATGAAACGGAGACTTGCAGCAGTCGAAATGGACTATCTCAGAAGGATCTCAGAGATCAGACATCGAATTAATGCTCCAGAGGCAATTATAGATAGAGTAAAATCAGAGGTCTGAAGTGGTTTGGCCATCTATTAAGAATGCCGGAAGATCGATGACCAAAACGCCTCTTTCATTGGAGACCCCCACAAAGAAGAAGGGCGAGATAGACAAAGAAGGTCGTGGAATAACAAAATCAGACAAGCAATGGCATCCAGAGAGCTGGATGCATTTGATAGAGAGGTCTGACGAAGGCGAACGGGAAAGCAGCAGTAGCTGTATAGTTGATTAATAGACAACCACATCGACTGTCTGAACCTATAATAACCAAAAAAGGTCTTAGAAAGGGTTGCAGCCTCTCCCTTTTACTGTTCAATACCTATGTAGAAGTCGCGCTGGAAGAATGGAAAAGACAATGTGAGCCTATGGGCATTCCTATAGGCGCACAAAAATTATTTACATTAAATTTTGCTGACGACCAGGTGGTGCTTGCGCAGGATGCTTTTCACATTGAATATATGATGAGAAGACTCTAAATACAATATGAGAAGTGGGTTCTACAAGTAGTCTTAAAAAACAGAATATCTAGTAGCCAATAGTGAAGCGGCCTTTGAAGTTCTGATTACGGATGAAACTCAGGTCACACAGGTCGACAACTTTAAATATTTAGGGTCAATCGTAACTAAACAGCACACTGGAGAGAACGAGATTAAACTCCACATTCAAACTGGCAAAAGAATGGGGGGATGTTTGAATTCATTATGGTGGGATTAGTATCTCTTTCTTAGAACCAAAAAAAAAAGGCTGGGACAAATATTGGTTCAATATGTAGGGTGCTATGGTTGTCAAGTATGGGCTCTAACAGCTGAAATGAAACGGAGACTTGCAGCAGTCGAAATGGACTATCTCAGAAGGAACTCAGAGATCAGACATCGAATGAATGCTCCAGAGGCAATTATAGATAGAGTAAAATCAGAGGTCTGAAGTGGTTTGGCCATCTATTAAGAATGCCGGAAGATCGATGGCCAAAACGCCTCTTTCAAAAATACTTCAAAAAGTTTAGCCGAATAATTTTTCCTACTTTTAAACTCGTGTAAACCAAAGTCTAATATTTCCAACACCCAACGGCTATCAATTAAACATTTGCTTGATCTCAAATTTCCGTGGGATATAATTTAACTGTCGTGCAAATAAATCATTCCCTATAAGTATAAAAATAATAATGTAATATACGATTTTATATTTGAAGAATATTGAACATGGAAAAAATTTTTTGTTTACTTTTTAAAGACTTTTTCAGTTCGAGTTAGTCGATAGTTGCTTGTGTTGTTGTGTTGTTGTTGCTGTATTGTGTTGTTGTGTGTAACTTTATGCGACAGTCCTTAGTGGTGTTATCAAGATGAACGGCGATTCGACTAGCTACGACTACATGGATTTCGATTGTAATATCAGCTGGGTTGAAGATCAAACCAACAATGAAGAACCTGGACCGTCCGGATTGCAAAATAAAATAATTAATAGATTTAAGTCCACGGATATTTGTTTCCGTGGAGTTCCAACAAATATTCATAGAACAGAAAGTTCCCTTGGCTTTTGTAGATCTTAAAAAGGCCTAAGATACAATACCCCGTCAAAAATTGTGGAAGGCTCTCGAACGGCTATATGTCGATCTAGTAAAAATAATTAAAGAACTGTATAATAACAATATCTCACTCATAAAAGTAGGATATCGACTCTCTGAACCTATAATAACCAAAAAGGGTGTTAGACAGGGTTGCAGCCTCTCCCTTTTACTGTTCAATACCTATGTAGAAGTCGCGCTGGAAGAATGGAAAAGACAATGTGAGCCTATGTGCATTCCTATAGGCGCACAAAAATTATTTACATTAAATTTTGCTGGCGACCAGGTGGTGCTTGCGCAGTATGCTTTTCACCTTGAATATATGATGAGAAGACTCTAAATACAATATGAGAAGTGGGTTCTACAAGTAGTCTTAAAAAACAGAATATCTAGTAGCCAATAGTGAAGCGGCCTTTGAAGTTCTGATTACGGATGAAACTCAGGTCACACAGGTCGACAACTTTAAATATTTAGGGTCAATCGTAACTAAACAGCACACTGGAGAGAACGAGATTAAACTCCACATTCAAACTGGCAAAAGAATGGGGGGATGTTTGAATTCATTATGGTGGGATTAGTATCTCTTTCTTAGAACAAAAAAAAAAGGCTGGGACAAATATTGGTTAAATAAGTAGTGTGCTATGGTTGTCAAGTATGGGCTCTAACAGCTCAAATGAAACGGAGGCTTGCAGCAGACGAAATGGACTATTTCAGAAGGAACTCAGAGATCAGACATCGAATGAATGCTCCAGAGGCAATTATAGATAGAGTAAAATCAGAGGTCTGAAGTGGTTTGGCCATCTATTAAGAATGCCGGAAGATCGATGGCCAAAACGCCTCTTTCAAAAATACTTCAAAAAGTTTAGCCGAATAATTTTTCCTAATTTTAAACTCGTGTAAACCAAAGTCTGATATTTCCAACACCCAACGGCTATCAATTAAACATTTGCTTGATCTCAGATTTCCGTGGGATATAATTTCACTGTCGTGCAAATAAATCATTCCCTATAAGTATAAAAATAATAATCTAATATACGATTTTATATTTGAAGAATATTGAACATGAAAAAATTATCTTCTTTACTTTTTAAAAACTTTTTCAGTTCGAGTTAGTCGATAGTTGCTTGTGTTGTTGTGTGTGTGTTGTTGTTGCTGTATTGTGTTGTTGTGTGTAACTTTATGCGACAGTCTTTAGTGATGTTATCAAGATGAACGGCGATTCGACTAGCTACGACTACATGAATTTCGATTGTAATATCAGCTGGGTTGAAGATCAAACCAACAATGAAGAACCTGGACCGTCCGGATTGCAAAATAAAATAATCAATAGATATTAAGTCCACGGATATTTGTTTCCGTGGACTTCCAACAAATATTCATAGAACAGAAAGTTCACTTGGCTTTTGTAGATCTTAAAATGGCCTAAGATACATTACCCCGTCAAAAATTGTGGAAGGCTCTCGAACGGCTATATGTCGATCTAGTAAAAATAATTAAAGAACTGTATAATAACAATATCTCACTCATAAAAGTAGGATATCGACTCTCTGAATCTATAATAACCAAAAAGGGTGTTAGACAGGGTTGCAGCCTCTCCCTTTTACTGTTCAATACCTATGTAGAAATCGCGCTGGAAGAATGGAAGCAATGCGGTATTATAAAATATTAAAAAAAAAAAATTTAAAAATTATTTACATTAAATTTTAATTTAAAAAAAATCCAAAGTTTCATGCGCTTGGGAAAACACTTGCTTGAATATATACAATCCTAGCAACAGCTTACGTTGGTCAGTTTGGTATTCATAGAGAAAGCCTAATATTTCCCTTATAAAATAATCTCTAATTCTCGCAAATCTTGAAGTATAATTAGTGGACAAGTTAAAAGTTTGATAACTTTTTCTACTGATTGAAAATTTCAACCACTAATTTTGATGTTCTGATTTCTAACCACAAATTCTCTTGACGGAAGGTAATCAAAGGCCAAAATGACATTTCCCGCAAATTTTGAAGTATAATTAGTGGAAAAGTCAAAAGTTTATTAACTTTTTCT